AACAGGGGAGCTCCTCAACAAGAGATGGTACCTGCAAGTTATGAAATGGAGGAGCCTTTCCTGGAAGTTTCCCTCAAGCAGCCATGCCCTGCACCTCTCTCAGCCCAGCAGCAGCAGCAGCGTCCAATGCGGAAAGCGAGTGCAGGGGTGTGCACTGTTTATAGCAGAGCCTGTGCAGTCTCTGGTGTGTTTCTGCACACGCTACCAGGGGACATAAACAGGCTGGACACAAACCTGTCCCTGCTTCTGTGCTACTTATCCGGGTGTAACCATAAACAGTAATTAAGGAATCCTCCCAAAGGGAGAGGAGAACTCTTGGGCTCTGGGAGGGGTCAGTGAGGAATTGGCTGCTCTGGGCGTTTGCATATTTTTAAGAATTATACTGAGTAGGAAAAAAACAATGGATAACGAGTAGATCCCCTAAGGTTGGATGTCCTGTAAATGCCCTGGAGGGATATGTAGGTTGTTGACTGACAGATCTGGGGACAGAAGACTGAAGTAATTGCTTTCTTTCTTTCTTTCTTTCTTTCTTTCTTTCGGCACACGGGACTGTTGACAAAGGATCTTAGAACAGAAATTCTCTTCAGTAAGTATCATCGTTCTATGCAGTGCAGGTTGCACCTCCAAAAACCAGATCTCTCTGTTCCAGCAATATCTGTCATCCAGTAGGACCATGGATGCACCTGGATGAGAGGGAGGGCCAGCTCGCCGGCAGCCCAGTTAGGGGCAGAGGGAGACCAGGGCCAGAGCCCCACAGCAGCCCCCAACTGTACGAGGCTGAGACAGATTCCCACGGCAGTACAGATCAGCACTGGACACAAGCCCCACAGCAGCCCCCATCTGCACGAGGCTGAGACAGAGTCCCACGGCAGTACAGATCAGCACTGGACACGAGCCCCATGGCACCAAATTAAATGAATGGAGATTGCCTATCTTCTAGAACTGGAAGGGACCTTGAAAAGTCATTGAGTCCAGTCCCCTGTTTTCACAGCAAGACCAAGTACAATCTCTAAGAAATTTTTTTGCCCTAAATGGCCTCTGCAAGGATTGAACTCACAACTCTGAGTTTAGCAGGCCAATGGGCAAAGCACTGAGCTAGCCCTTCACCACTTTTTCTGGCAGCTTCCTGGCACACAGAGCTGGGGCCAGAGCCATTTGTGACTTCTTTGTCTGGGTGCCAGGTAAGGTCACCAGGTACATGGCTATTGACTGGAAAGTCTCAGTGAAAGGGGACTTGACTTTGTCTGGGTCCCTGTAGGAAGGGAGGAGGCATAGGGTCATTGACCCACAACAGAGATGTGAGTAGAACAGGGAATGTTTAGTTGAATACGATCAGGTCATTGTCTTTTTTTTGAGGTTTGTTGGATTTCTCTGTGCTCAGCAATGTAACTACCCCCTTACACAGTAACTTTTCAAACAGAATCCCAGGGAACAGGCCCGGCCAAAGAGTTTGTGGGACCCAAAGGCCACACTGAAAGCAGTCATGCCACGTATGCGGCCAGAGTGGTGAGCGAATGTGGGGTCCTCAGGATGCGGGGCCCAAGGCAACCACCTTGCTTGCCTTGCCTTAAGGCTGGGCCTGTCAGAGAAGGATTTTTCCTTGTTTTCATCTTTTTTTTTCAGTTTCAGTGTAATACCCAGCAACCAAGTAGTGTTTCACTAAGTGTGTTTTCTTCCTTTTGTTAATAAAAAATTGCTCTATTCAGACCATGATCTAATTCCTGTGTCCTAGAAGGAAAGAGGTTCTGTGAAGACCACAAAATCAAGTATTAAGATAAATTACAGTTTGTTTCAACCTGTCTCCAGTGGGGGGGTAGAGCTGTGATACCCCAGAGCAGGAAATTCCCAAATGTGCTTTCCTGAGTTCCGAAAGAGCTTTTGCATTTGTGGGGTGGCAGTGATACCAAACCAAGAGAAGGGAACCTGTGACCCTGGAGAGTTTTTAAACACAAGCCTTTAAGGGCCAGGTATTTTTAAAGTGTTTGGAGAGCCCCCATCTTCTGCACTCAAAGTGCCAAACAGGGGGACAGCTTTGACAACACCTTGCATTTCTAACTTCACATACAAGAATGACACATGGACTCAAATAGAATATACACACCCAGGGGGTTACCAGCTCTTGAATAGTAGGTTACTTTCCCTGTTTTTTAGATTCATGTTCTAAATTATATTTCCATAAAAATACGGGGACAAAGTGTCACAGTTCTCCTTCTGTCACATTGTTCCACTCTGCTCATCTGAGCTACAGGACCACTCATTGTTTCTTTAAAGTTACAGAGTAACACTGGATGTGTCTAAACTACATGGCTCCGTCGATGGAGCCATGTAGATTAGGCTGATGGGCAGAGGGAAATGAAGCAGCGATTTAAATAATCGTGGCTTCGTTTAAATTTAAATGGCTGCTGCGCTCTGCCGACCAGCTGATGATCAGCTGTTTGTCAGCAGATCGGGGCAGTCTGGATGCGCCACAGTCAACGAGGAAGCCTTTGTGGACCGGCGCAGGTATACCTCGTGAAACCAGCCATTTAAATTTAAATGAAGCCGCGATTATTTAAATCGCGGCTTCATTTCCCTCTGCTGATCAGCCTAATCTACATGGCTCCATCGACGGAGCCATGTAGTTTAGACACACCCACTGTGATCGATAGATAGATAGATAGATAGATAGATAGATAGATAGATAGATAGATAGATAGATAGATAGATAGATAGATAGATAGATAGATAGATAGATAGATAGATAGATAGATAGATAGATAGATAGATAGATAGATAGATAGATAGATAGATAGATAGATAGATAGATAGATAGATAGATAGATAGATAGATAGATAGATAGATAGATAGATAGATAGATAGATAGATAGATAGATAGATAGATAGATAGATAGATAGATAGATAGATAGATAGATAGATAGATAGATAGATAGATAGATAGATAGATAGATAGATAGATAGATAGATAGATAGATAGATAGATAGATAGATAGATAGATAGATAGATAGATAGATAGATAGATAGATAGATAGATAGATAGATAGATAGATAGATAGATAGATAGATAGATAGATAGATAGATAGATAGATAGATAGATAGATAGATAGATAGATAGATAGATAGATAGATAGATAGATAGATAGATAGATAGATAGATAGATAGATAGATAGATAGATAGATAGATAGATAGATAGATAGATAGATAGATAGATAGATAGATAGATAGATAGATAGATAGATAGATAGATAGATAGATAGATAGATAGATAGATAGATAGATAGATAGATAGATAGATAGATAGATAGATAGATAGATAGATAGATAGATAGATAGATAGATAGATAGATAGATAGATAGATAGATAGAGTGTATGAGAAGAGAGAGAGAGAGAGAGAGGTGTATGAGAGAGAGAGAGAGAGAGAGCACATGACAAAGGAAAAGGGACAGCAAAACGGAGACAATGAGAAGGGTAGGAAAAAATAAGGTGGCAGGAAGGAGACGTATTCTACTGGTGGTGCACAGCATCATATTACTTCAATGTTGTTGCACAAAACAAAATCCATCTGCACACTGATGGAATAAATTAGGAGGGAACATTTATTTTGTAACCTTCTAGTTTATTTCCAGTGAATCGTGCAATGTGTTGAGAAGAAACAGGTGACCCAGGAGCCGATGGGGTAAGCAGAACTGCTTTATTGCCCACACACGTTTACCTCAGACATTCAACCCAACATCCGAGTGGCAAGAACCTGGCACCAATTACACCCTTTTATCTGCTTTAGTATATCACACGTCGATCACTACTTTCCTAAATCCATATTTAGTAATGTTAACTCCCATGAAATGAATATTAATAAGTAAATAACGAATACGATAACCAGTACAATGATACCCGCTCCTAATTATTAGTTACAGACTTTCTAATTGAATTAATGCTTTTTCACTACAAACTTTCTAAATCAGCAGGTTACAGAGATTACAAGAAATTTAATGTCCCTACCCCCCTTGTGCAGCCCTCCTGTCCCATCTTCTTCTGGCTTATCCAAGGCTGATTCAACCCCTCTTCTCACCCTCCTCATCCGTTCTGTTCAGTGGGGAGGTTCCATGCGTTGCAGGCCCACCTGGTTCAGAGATGCTGGGGAAAACTGGATTTCTCTAGAGGGCAGTTGTTCCCTTCTTCTGCCGGGAGATCTCGTTACAGCTGAGTGTCTTTAGAAAGGAACCTAACCCCAGTCTCCTGCCCCTTCATGCCAAGTGTGTGAGGGAAGAGAACAGGAAAAGGTCAAAGACACAGGGATACAGATGGCTACCACAAGAAGTGAATTAACAGGGATTCAAAGCATGTCGTTTTTATTCTGATTGGCCCTTTGTGGCTTCTTCATCTGGGTGCCAGGGAGGGTCACCGGGTACTGGACTATTGACTGGAAAGTCTCAGTGAAAGGGGAATTGACTTTGTCTGGGTCCTTGCAGGCAGGGGAGAGTCGTAGGGTCATTGACCCACAACTCTTCCATTCAGCTACGGCCATTCCTGGCCAAGTGGCAAAAGCTCCTGTCCAACCCCAGAGCAGAGGGAGACGAGCTGCAGCGGGGATGGGGGTGCAGGAGATCCAGTGAGTGACAGGAAGAGGGGAGTGCAAAAGAAATGGCCAAGGGCAGAGTGTGTGTGAAGGAGGTGGCAAAAGGGGCGGGGACACAATGGAGTAGGTGAAGCAGAGAGATGGGCCTTGGGGAAAGAAGCAGGCCAGGACACAGGGCCTGGGCGAATAGGTGGGTATGGAGCAGAGTCCTAGGTACCAGTTGCCAACAGTGAGAAGAGCAGTAACCCTGTGAATTACAGAGCCGTACACAGACTGATTCCACCGCGGGTCACCTGGACCCAGCACAGTAAGGGAAGAACATAACGTTGGTCTGACTTTAAAGGACGTGATTCGGGGATGAGGGCCCAGCACCATGTTACAAGCCAGTGAACTAAGGATCTTTGTCTCAGAGTCTGAGCCCTAGGAGAAAACTCTAGACGATTTATGGGTAATGAGCCCAAGCAGCCGACCCCGTATTTCTTTGGTCGTCACCCCGTAGATGATGGGGTTCAGCATGGGGGGCAGCAGCAGGTACATGTTGGATATGAGAACATGGACATGCGGGGGAAAGTTCTGTCCAAAACGGTATATGAGAGATGAGAAAAGAGTTGGAATGTAAAAGATTATGATGACACAGACGTGTGAGCCACAGGTCAAAAAAGTCTTGAGTCGGGCCTCCTTTGTGGGGAGTCTGAAGATGGCCCTGAGGATCTGCATATAGGAAGTGGCGATAAATATCACATCCAGACCCAAGACACAGAATAGCCCAAAGAGCCCATAGTAACTACTGACGCGGGTGTCCCCACAGGCCAGTTTCACCACAGCCATGTGTTCGCAATAGGGCTGAGAAATGAGATTGGTTCTGCAATATGACCACTGCCTCACCAGGAAGGGATAGGGCAGTGACTCCATGCAACTGCGCAGCACCACGGCCAGGCCAATCTTGGCCACCACAGGGTTTGTCAGGATGGTGGAATGTCTCAGGGGATGGCAGATGGCCACGTAGCGATCAAATGCCATGGCTGCCAATATCCCAGACTCAATCGCTGAGAAGCAGTGAATGAAAAACAGCTGAGCAAGGCAGGCACTGAAATGGATCTCCCTGGAATTGACCCAGAAGATTGCAAGCATTTTGGGCATGGTAGATGTGGTAAGAACCAGGTCGGTGGTGGCCAGCATGCAGAGGAAATAGTACATGGGCTCATGGAGGCTCGACTCCATCTTCACAATGAACAGGATGGTGAAGTTCCCCAAGAGGGCTATAATGTACATGGTGCAGAAGGGGATGGAGATCCACACATGAGCTGTCTCCAGTCCGGGAATGCCCTGCAGGATGAAGTATGTCATGGAGTAGGGAAGACAGCATTAAACTCAGAGGCAGAAGAATGTCTTCTACATCTACCATATGTTCCTCTGACTTCGTTATATGCCTAGGCTTTAGGGTGATGGTCGCAGCACCTGGATGGAAAGATGATGTTAACAGGAGACATCACATGCACTACTGGAGGCCCTTTTAATTTGTGAAGCACATTGGTGTACATAATCCTATGGTTGGAATAGACCTCAGGATGTCATGAAGTCCAACCCCCCTGGTAAAAGCTTTTAACACAGAGAAAAGACACTTCCATTATTTAGAGAAATGAAACATTAACCACTGGCCCTACTAATGAGAATTCCATTATGTGTCAATAATTCCTAACCATAGAATCCTAGAATCCTAGATTCCTGTCTTGGAAGAGACCTCAAGAGTCATCGAGTCCAACACCCTGCCCAGAGCAGGACCAATCCCAACATCATGGTGTGGGGAAATATAATAGCCACAAGAGGAAAACAGGAATGCGAACACGTGTTTTGCCTCATTGCTCTTTCATGAAAGAATATCCATGATCGAGATTCCACGCTGTACGGAGCTCCCCATTCATGTGGTAGCGCAAAATTGTGAGAATGGGAACAAATACAATTGTTTGACAAGTGCTTGGAGAAACATCCCAAGTAGAACACACTTCAGGGAACAGGGAACACTTCTGGCCATCACTGAAAAGAGTGTCCAAATAAAGACAACCTTCAGATACCCACGTGATGTTCCTGGATTGTATTTTAAACATACAGGGTACGTCTAAACTACATGCCTCCGTTGACGGAGGCATGTAGATGAGCCAGATCTGCAGAGGGAAATGAAGCCGCGATTATTTTAATCGCGGCTTCATTTCCCTCTGCAGATCTGGCTCATCTACATGCCTCCGTCGACGGAGGCATGTAGATGAGCCAGATCTGCAGAGGGAAATGAAGCCGCGATTATTTTAATCGCGGCTTCATTTCCCTCTGCAGATCTGGCTCATCTACATGCCTCCGTCGACGGAGGCATGTAGATGAGCCAGATCTGCAGAGGGAAATGAAGCCGCGATTATTTTAATCGCGGCTTCATTTAAATTTAAATGAAGCCGCGATTATTTTAATCGCGGCTTCATTTCCCTCTGCAGATCTGGCTCATCTACATGCCTCCGTCGACGGAGGCATGTAGTCTAGACACACCCACAGAGAACTGTTGCAACCACTGTTACCTGTTTGCAGCAAATCTTTTACAAAGTCTGCCAAGTAAGATGTCTGTTAAAAGCATGTGATTTGCTGGTTATGGTTATGGTTGGAATTGCAGCTAGCCAGGGATGTAAAAGGTAACAGGAAAGGTTTCTACAAGCATGTTAGCAATAAAAGGATGATCACGGTTAGTGTGGGATCCTTGGTGGATGAGGGAGGTAACCTAGTGACAGATGATATGGGAAAAGCTGAAGTACTGAATGCTTTTTTTTTTACCGCTGTCTTCACAGACAAGGTCAGCTCCCAGACTTCCGCATTAGGTAGCACAGTATGGGAGGGAAGTGGGCAGCTCTCGTTGAAGAAAGAAGGAATATTTAGAAAAGTTGGTTAAGGAACATTTAGACAAGTTGGACATACAGATATCCATGGGGCTGGATGTAATGTACCCAAGGGCACTGAGAGAGTTTGCTGATGATATTGCAGAACCTTTGGCCTTTATCTTTGAAAACTTGGGTACTTTGGTCTGACCCAGTATGGCAGTTCCTATGTCCTTATGCTCTCATGCCGCTGATACCGGGGTGAGGCTGAAATAGCCCCAGTGCTCAGGGTGGGCCTGTGCTGGAGATCCGTGTCTGGTTTTGGTCACTGCGGTGCGGCAGAAGGCAGGGAATTGGAAATGGTTTAGGGGCAAGTGATGAGGGTGTTGAAAGGATGGAAAGCAACCCGAGTGTGACAGCTAAAGGACCTGGAGGTATGTCGTCTGCACAAGCAGAGATTCAGGGGGACATGAGCAGCCTGCGAATCCTTCAAAGGCAGCGCAGAAAGGCAGGAGAAAGCTGTTCTCTCTTGCCAGTGAACTCAAGATGCCGCAAAGCAGATGAAAATGAAACAAGGTCCTAAAAAAGAGGACAATGGAAGAAAAGACTCGGAAGGGGGCGAAAGGTCCCTGGCTGGGGGCTTTCTGAACGAGACAGGACCTCCACCTGTGTGGGGATGGTTTAGACCGAACATGCCACCCTCTTGGGGGGGGGGGGGCAGACCTGCTGCCTTTTCATCCCTTCTGATCCGGTGGCTCTAAGACACTGTTGTGTAAAATTCCGGTGTGGGCCAGGCCTGAGTGACACACGTAAAACGGCTCAATAAGGGGGTGACCGGATGACATTTAATAGCCGGCATTGCACAGCGGGTCAGCGTAGGTCACTGCCTCACAGACACTGCATGGGACGACACGCAGGGCTGGAATATTGGTGTAGCAAGAGCCCGGCTGGCTCAGGACGCACAGTTCAGGGGACAAGGGAGTTGCTTTTCTCTTCCATATTAAAGACACAGGCACTTGCTCTGAGGCTGAGCTGTAACTAGGACACAGCCTTGTGGACAGCCGCTGGGGAACCATAGAAGGGCCAAACATCGCAGGGTCCATGACACACTGGAAACCAGGAGAAAACGGGTCTGGCCCATGTTGGTCCAGTGAGAAGCCTCCATTTCCAGGCATTTAAAAGCCAGAGCCCTGAGGTGCCAGAGCGGGAGGGGCAGTCTCTGAGCATTCACACACAGCCGGCTCCTCCGCTCTGTGCTCACGTCTCACTCCAAGGGGCGGTCGCACCCCTGTGACTTCAGGCTGCCTGAGGCTCCAGGGCCGTTCTCTCTCAGGGTGACCCGAGCTAACTATTGGCCAGGAGCTCGGAATGGCACCTTGTACGGCTCATCCAGGAACACCTGTCACACCAAAGGGTCCCCGGTGCCCCGACACACAGACACCTCAGAGCTGGAGGCATCGCTAGGGGTGGGCCAGGCTGCAGAGAAGAGAGGGGAGCTCCTCAGCAAGAGATTCTTACCTGGGAGTCCTGAGATGGACGTGTCTTCCTCAGGCAGGCGTGTGCCCCACCCCTCAGCCCGGCATCTGCAGCAGCTTCCTCTGCTGATATTCGAGGCAGGGTGGGCGCTGGTTATAACATGGCTCTGGGTATTCCAGTGGGGTTTGCTCAGGCACTGGGGAGAAGTGGGACCTGAATGTAAACCGGCTGGAGACCAGCCTGTTAGTGCCCCTGGGCTATTTACCCAGCTGTAGGCATAACGAGTAATTAAGGGACCTTCCCACGGGAGAGGAGATCTCTTGGGCTCTGGGCTGAGACATGGAATAATTGTCTGCTCTGAGCATTTGTGTGTTTTTAAGAGTGTTACCCATTAAAATACAATAACAATGTGTTGCTTGTAGCTCTTCCTGGGGTGTGATGCCCTGTAAGTGCCACGAAGGGATGGGTAGATAGCAGATACACAGATCTGGAGACAGAAGTGTGACTGAAGACACTACACTTTCTGGAGGCACATGGGGCTCTCCTTACGGTGTCACACATCAATAATGCTCATCAGTAACCATCATGATCCTGTGCGGCCCCTTGCACGGAAGACTCTTGAGAAGTCTTGGTAATGTCAGTATGTCGGTATGAACATAGCCCCATTCTAGAGGTAGAAAAACTGAGGCTCAGTAGGATATGAATTGACCAAGGTCACCAAGAGAAAAAATTGCTGGAGGT